CAGTGGAATCTGAGGCATCGAAGAGCTCAGAGTTATTAAAAGGGAAGCTGGAGGAATTGAAGGAGAAGGTACAGGGAGTCATCGACGAGGCAGGAAAAATGGAGCTGGGTAAAAAGGCTGGGCAATTGGCTGAGGAAATTTCAAAATCTGCGAAGGGGGCTGCTGAGACGTTATCAGGAAAAAAAAACATCCCTTTCGACTGGCCCCTGTGGCAGCGGGACTGATATTTCAGAGTCGCTGAGTCGGCTGACGAGCAGATACCCCAGCGTTGCGTGTGGCGCCCTCCCTCTTATGGGGTTGGCTACTACGATGCCGCTGGGGTCACTCAAACCCCCAGAACTGCTCCTCTACTTTGGTCAATCCTCTGTTGCCTGACACGTTCGTGTGGTTATACCATTCTGCTCATGCGTATTGCGCTCTTGCAATTAATTTTGAAGTCGTTCACGACGATTTTTCCGATATTGTGTGTTGTTTTGGGCCACCCAAAGAATTTATTTTTCATTCACTTGGGCTTTCGACAATAACATCACCATGCCTGTCACTAAACTGCCAAATGTGAGTATTTTATCCAATTACTTATAGAAGTCAGAATTCATCGGAACTTCTATTCCAATTTTTCCTGGAAGAATATAAACTACTCTAACCTCTCGCTGATTTTTTAGTGCAACACCACGAATATTTGGGAGAGAAAATTCTGCCATTTTTCAAATATTCTTAAATTACTGTTGTTATTCTGCATCTTACTGACTTTAGTCATATATTCTTTTGAATTTTGTAGGAGATAACGTTAAGCTAATGAATGTCCATCAATCTAACTTTTATTAAAATAGTTGTCTGTATTTCCAGCGGTTGTATTACTTTCCAAAACCGAACCGATGGCAAAAGGGTATTGGTAGTGAACTACCAGAGGCCTACAAGAAATTCTGGCATGAGTGGAAGCTTCGGACACCCACTGCAGTCCACTACATCCCGGAGGAAGGAAAATACAAATGGGATGAACATCAGCAGACGGTGTACGAATTCTCTCTGCAATTATTACTCCCATTTCCTCCGGGTTTACCGATTGATTATCGCTTTGCAGATTGCCCGTTCAGAACATCCCTCTGCCCCTGAGATTTCCCAAGGAGCAGGATTATGGGATCTGGGGTGGCGAGGCCATTGTCCAGGGTTACAGGAAGAAAGGGAAGTACCGCATGAAAGTTGCCAAGTTCTGGGTGCCCACCCTTAGGCGTTCTGTCGTTTACAGCGAAATCTTGGATACTCACATGAAGACCACTATTACCATGAGGACGATTGATTTGATCCACGAGCATTACGGTTTTGATCATTATCTGCTCAAGGTATTTTTGGGGTCTAGCATTTCTTCTGGATGAGCCAAGTTTGTAAAGTGAATAGATTTAACGAGAATTATTGTGTTGCAGACGCCAGCGTGTGATTTGAAGTCTCTATTAGCTGTTAAACTCAAGAGGGAAATTTTGATAGCCCTGGCTGATAAAACATTGTATCCACATGATCCAGAGAAACGAGAGGAAGTTTATAATAAATATAAAGACTATTTATCTGCGGTAAGACTCAATTTTTATCGTCAAAACGACTATGGAATTTTTGGAACATCTCGGTGTCATCTTACGGAGAGATTTTACTCGGCAATTCAACTAGGGAGCGATTGACTCGTTATTCTTCATTGTTTTATCACCATTTTTTGTCGTTAAAGGCACGTGTCTGATTGAAATTATATAAAAGTTTGAATATCTTGCAGTACACGAGAGAAGAAATTGAGTGGTACGGTTTATCCTATAAAGATGCGGTGAAGAAGTGGATCGCGATAAAGGAGCCTCTCGAGAAACCCGAGCCATTTAAGATCAGGTACCGATCAGAATTAATTGCTGAACTTAAAGCAGCGAAGATTGCTGAGGCTATGGATGCGGATGTTGAACGACCGAGGTAAGTAAAACCTTTATATCCATATGGACACAAGGAAAAATATTTTTTTGTATATTTCGTGTATATTCGCGCATATCTTATATTACATTGTCATCTCCATTTTGCAGCGAATCATGGATCGCCAAAATCAATCCATTCTCAAAAACTCCGAAGACTGAGTGATGCGAACCTACTGTAAATAAAAACTAGCGATTAAATCGAAATAAACAACAGTTCCATTACTAAATCAACAGTTTATTAGTTCTGCTGTTATGGAGCAAAAAAAACCAAAAAAAAAAACCCCCCCAACCAAAAAAACAAAAAAAAAAACCCGAAAAAAAACATCTAAGAAACACTTGTTCTAAAAATAATTGATTCAACTAATTGATTAAACACTCATGAAATACTGCACTCGAGGTCTCCATCCTTAGGCAGAAAATTGAGTAATGACGCAATGGCTCTTGTTATATACGTCATGGTACCATAACTGCCACTGGGCGCACTGTCATAAAAGTGTTGACAGATGTAAGCAGCTCCACCGCAGAGAAGTGTCCCTAGAGGGGTTGTTTCTCGTTGTTCTTTGGGTTTGGCGCAACAGAGCGTTGCATCCCCATCAATTTTCATCTAATAACAAATTTTAAACAACAAAAATAAATGAATTAATCAATATCCTAAAATCGGAGAAAAATAGTAAATTTTCGTAAAGATCGTCAAGAGACGTTTTGAGAAAAATTTAGTTATCTTTCTTTTTTTGTTTTTATTATTATTCAATGACAAATTTTCATAGTGGTGCGTTTATTCGTCTAAATTTTCCTGAATTAAAAACTTCTCACCT